GGTGCTCTAATTGATTGAGATGACTGTGGAGGCCATTTGAGTACAGGAAACTCATTGACATATTCAAGAAACCAGTCTGAGATGATTTGCGCTTTTTGACATGGTGCATTATCCTGTTAGAAGTAGGCAGCAGAAGATGGGTATACTGTAGTCATAATGGGATGCACATGGTCAGCAACAAAACTCAGGTACCTTTGACTGTGGCATTGATATAATGCTCAATTGGTACTAATGGTCCCAAAGTGTGCCTAGAAAATATCCCCCTCACAATACACCACCACCAGCCTGAACCGTTGATACAAGACAGGATGGATCCATGCTTTCATGTTGTTGATGCCAAATTCTGAACCTACCATTTGAATGTTGCATCTGAAATCGAGACTCATCAGACCAGGCAACATTTTTTCAATCTTCTACGGGTGTACCTAATAAAGTGATCGGTGAGTGTATTTTAGTAATGTGTTACCTAATTTTAAGTATAATGTTCACACAATTTCATATTTGTTGACCTGACTCATTTTAATTAGTTATCTTGTTTTTGGGCAATCGTTCACATGACTTATTAACATTACCTCATTTTCAAGTAGATTTTGTGCACATTTTGTGCTATTTGTTACCATTTAAGTATATTATGCACACACTTTTCAGTTTTGCAACTATATTGTGTGCACAGTTCTAGTTCATGACTTCATTTTAATTATATCATACCACACTTGACTTTACCTGTACATTTTGTAATGTTTAAATACATCATGCATGTAATTTACTAAGTTGTTGCCTCATTCTAAGTACACTGCATCATATTTTTGTTACATATTTCAAATATGATGTGAACACAATTTGCTACCTTACATTAAATAGTCTGTGCATACAATTTTCTAAATTGTTACCCCATTTTAAATAAATAATGCAATTATTATGTTTTAAAGTATATCATTCACACAACTGACTAATCTGTTACCTTGTTTTTGGTATCCATATGCATGCATAACCAACAGCAATTTAAAAACAAAACATGCAAAAATATGTTGTTAAGATAATAATATATGAGATTTTAATAATATTTTAAACACTTAACAAAAAAAAGTCCCCAGTTCCCTCTCGGAAATTGGGTTATCTTACATTAACTAACTAGTCCACACAAAGCAGTTCTACTACTTAATCATTCACACAGAAAAAAAAAAAGTTTTGATAAAAAGTTCAGAGTTATAAAAATGCATTGTTATGCTCAATTTCTGTTTGTGCTCTACATTTTGTATGTATATCAGAGTATTGCACACGTAGCATATCAACATGCTAACATCAGACTCGCAAAATCAGTAGAAAGTCGCATGCAAAGCACTATTACAGTGGTGTGTAGAGTTGCTGTCTATGCAGACCGTTCCAAACTGCTCGCTTATTAGAGTTCATAACAGGTCACAGCCTCAAGGGGACATTCGCACATAATGCAGGTTGTTTTCCATTGTTTTTCTATATATACACACACTTGAGGAGTACGTTTGACCAATGCAGTGTAAAAATGTTTTCTTTTTCATTCCGCTGCCCTTCATTCCACATTTTTAAATGCAAAAATGTGTTTTGTGTGAATGGCCACTTTGAAGGCAACTCACTATATATTGGAGCAGCTGTAGAACTGTGTGCTCTCCACAGGAAGTGTATTGGATGGATTGGTGGAAAGTAATAACCAAACAGATTTTATGTACCGCTGGGTAACTGTGTGTTTGTATAATGTACGTTGCGTTTGTTTGCACTGGTTTCATTATGCTATGTGCTTTGAAATCATTTTTGCAATGCTATATCCTTAAGGTAAACATAGCCTCGGTCCGTGAGTGGGGTCGTATTAACAGGCATGTTTTCCTGCTGGATTTGCTACTTGTGAATATTTAGACTGTTGGAACGTGAGGGTTTTGCCTCTCGTGTTTGCTGGTTTAGCTGAACACACAGTAATATGTGTTAATGGCCCATGCACAGATGGACAGTGGGTTATTGCGCTGCTCTCACCACTTGTCGTAAACCCCAAGCAAACCAAACCACCATGCATAATGGATACAAATTAGGACATTGGATTTCAAAGCAGCACACTTCATTCCTGACCACATTGTTGTTTTTTTCCACAGGTTTACCATCCATAATTGTATTTTTCAAAAGGCATATTGCAAAATGTGAGCATCATTAAAATAATGCTACATGTACCTGAGAGGTCTATGTGTTGAGTATTGTTTATTCATTTTGTAAAGTGTGTGAAGTGAGTGTTTCTACTGATTAAACAAATTGTATTACTGTAATTAAAGAGCTAGTCATCAGTGTCAGAGGGCTGCTTTTGAGAGAAAACAAACATTCCGCTTATTAGTGCATTAATGAGTGTATTAAGTCTTGCCAAGAAGGAGAGCTAAAACTCTTACAGTGATAAGTATGACAGAAATAGTTCATATTAGGTAAATTTTAAGGTGCCATAGAATGAAAATATAGATATATCTAGCTAAATTATGAGTTCAGTGCATTGAAATGGAATAGTGTGACCCTCAAACAACTTTGTTTCCTCAATCTCATGTAAAATGTAGATGAAAACGCAGACTGTTACATTGCATATGGGTTCATTAATATGCACTCCACATGCTATGATTGATTAGCACTCCCCAGGCTGCATTTAATTGGCCACAATGTTTCCTAGTGAGATTACAGCAGTGATATTTTTCCCTTGTTTTCTTACATATATTTCTTACTGTATGTGGGACTCTAATTTTGAAAACAGGAGAGACGGGGAAAGTAAAGCTTCAAGCTTTAGGAAGTTTTCCGTCAGACATGTTTACCATGCTTCAGAACAAAAAATGTGAAATTTACAGATTATATATTTATCCAGTACCACCCTGAAAAAGGCTTATGGTCTGTTTTAATGTATCTTTTGTTAGTTTAATATGTATGTTGTTAAATTTTTCACACGTTTATAATGAGGCAACAAATATATAGGTTTCTAATAAAAAGTGTTTAAAAAAATAAAAAAATAAACCTGTGTGATATCTGCCATACCGTATCTTCCATGTATGTGCCCGAAGAATTTATTTGCAAAGCCCTGAATATTGCCTTTAAAATGAGTAGTAAATTTGACATTATAACTTTATAATAACTACACACTATGACTGATTTAATAAGCATTAGCAAATAGTCAATTAATTGTTCTTATGCATTAGCTCTATATTAATAAATGTTAGTAAGCAGTATATAGCTGCAGATACAAACGCTCTATTCTTGACTTTAAAATGTCCTTAATATATATATATATATATATATATATATATATATATATAGTTGAAGTCAAGAATTATTAGGCTAATAATTTTGTCCCTAAAATGGTTCATAAAAAATTCAAAACTGCTTTTATTCTAGCCGAAATATAACAAATAAGACTTTCTCCAAAAGAAAAAAATATATTATCAGACATACTGTGAAAATGTCCTTGCTCTGTTAAACATCATTTGGAAAATATTTAAAAAAGAAGAAAAAAAATTGAAGGAAGCTAATAATTAATATTAATTAATTAATTAATATTACTAATAATAATGTCAAAAATAGAGCATCTGTATCTGCAGTTATAAACTGCTTACTAACATCTGTTAATATAGAGTTCACTATTTGGTAATGCTTAATGAAAGATGCATACTATTGGAGTTTTACCACATGTTTTATTAAATTATATGCTAGGCTTGTGTGATATAATAACCATATGGCCGAGATATTCTTACACTAATCTTTCATGGGTAAACTACACTCTCAGAAATAAAGGTACGGGAGCTGTCACGGGCAGTACCTTTTCAAAAGGTAAATATTTGTACCTGAAGGGTTCATAATCGTACCTCAAAGGTACTTTTTGGGTAAATTTGAGTACTGATATGCACCCATATCGTCCCGCTGTGGATTCTTACAAATATGTATCTTTTGAAAGGTACTGCCCCAGTGACAGCTCCTGTACCTTCATTTCTGAGAGTGCACACTAGCACTAGATTAACAATATCATTTTATTTGTTGTGTATATTGAAGTTTTCTGTCAGTCTTTACAATTATCAAGTAAAGCCCAACTTAGGTTGCGTGATTTAAAAAAAAAAAAATTCCTTTTGATTGTAACTTGTCAGACTGAACAATGATCAAGACACTACACATCAACGCTACAGATGCCACAGACGAATCAATCTATAACTTGTGCTATGAAATTATACCTCACAGCAAACATCAATCAGCACTATGTAACATTAATTTTACTCATAACATGCCTTCATAATAAAATCTGATTTTATTTTATTTTAATTTTTTTACTTTTGCCCAAGGTGGTTTAAAGCTGTTGCGCTGATTGCATCATCAGGGTCAGTTCTTTCATTGGTTCTTAGTTTGATGCATGTCTTAAAAGCATCACTCTGCAGGAAAGTATCTGAAATCTTCTGACACTTTCAGCATTTCTTCAGACGGTAAATTTGATTGCAACAGCAATTAACTGGCTGTTGTTGAGCATGTCAAAACAGTGATCAAAGACAACAAATTTCAGCCTAGGGCATAGGGATATTTTAAGATTCCCAAAATGTGTGTGAGACATCCAAATCATGGCTGAAAAGCGTCATGTATGTGTGGCACTGCAAAATCTGTAAATTAATATTACAATGTGAAGTAAAGATTTTCTAAGTTCAGATAGGGAGCAATAAAGTATGAGGAAGTATAGGGATTAATGAATACAATGTAGGGATCTTCTCTTGCGAATGTTTCCATGTTGTGTTCAATAAAAACATGAAAACATATAATATATGTATAATGTTAGTTTAGCTAACTGTTTTTTTTTATTGTTGTGACATTAGATGAACACATTTATATGAAATGTATGCCGAAATCCAGTTATCCCAAAAGGTTCACATGCTTTTTCTTGTAACACTATTAAGTTCGAAGTAAACATAACTGAACATTGAAAAAAACAGTACTCAGTAAACTCACAAAAATGAATCATGTCTTGTATAATTAGCCTGTTAAACATCAGTCTGCGTCAAGATTTTTCTCTAGATACTGATTACTCGATACTGACAGCACCACCTATACACATTTGACGGACTGGCCCCCGAGCTACATTTCATGCACATGTACGAAAATTGTCAAACACATCAAACATGCCAAAACCTTCAAAAAAGTATCTTGAAGCAAAATCTCAAACCCAACAGGAAGTCAGATATTTTTAACTTTCTCTGCCAAAAAAGGGCAGTTTTTGTCATTTCTAGGCGTTGTACTTTAATGAACTCCTCCTTGGGATTTCATCAGATCAACACCAAAATTGTGTTTTGTCATGTTCTTGGCGAAAATTAAATTGTGAAGATCTAGAGTCTTTGTCGAAGGGCATGTTTGTGGTGGTCTCTCAAACTTTGTTTATTTTCCACGAAACAGGAAGTTGCTATAACTCTGGCATACATTGTCCAATCTGCCTCAAAATTCAAAAGTTTGATAACAGTCTTGACCTGAACATGTTTACATGCCAATTAGTGATGCACGGATGGCAGTTATATTAGCCGATAATCCATGAGTCGGGCGAGTTGGGTAATAAAAAATACATTATGATTAATTGCGGGTGGGTTGCAGGTGGATGTAGAGGGACATGGCAGTGGACCAGCGAAAAAGCTGAGAGTTGGCTTTGCAGAATGGGAAGATGAGACGCCCAAACTAATGAATGAAATGCTAAAGTATTGTTTAAACTTTCAGTTAGAGGAGCCATCAGAAGAAAATCTGCTATCGTTCTGTGAGAAACATTCCTTCAACAAGCGGTGCAAGCGAACACTCATTCTGTGCAGCTGGCCATGTTTTGGAGGCGAGGGGGAATCGCCCGAATTTAGGCATAGTAGAAGCTGTTCTTTTTTTTGCACAGTGCAGAAGTTTGCAGAAGTTTGGCATAAATCTGTGATTTTATAAGATTTTTAAAAATAGCTTAAATTGTTGTCCCCTGTTCTCTGTCATCCTAAGGGTGCGAGGTCCCTTTCATCGCTGCTTGTAGCTTTAATGTTAATATGTTATTGTTCTTGCTTTGTACTGTTACCGTTTTGACCATAAAGCAACTGCTCAGTTCAGTGTTGACGCTTTGTGAATAAACTAAACAGCGCTAAAACACTTAAAAGCACAAGTGTGAACTGTGAATGCAATTTACTGTAGGTGCAAATTAAACTCTATATTTACAGTAAATGCACCTTGACCCACACATGCAAGTCAAAATAAAGTGGTTTTATTGTAAGCGGAAAAGAGAAATAAGTCAATGTTTTTTTACCTCCACTAATTCTCAACTAATTCAAAATTGCTTTGTTTGGTAGGAGGGATGATTCCGGACTTCTGGTGTATAAAGACCATTTACCGGTCAGTCAAGTGGCTGTCGGGGACACAAATCGACCCGGTTCGGAAGCCAAGTTGACCGTGGGACCTCTTCGTTGCCATGGAGACCGTAAGTCTGTTTCTTTATTTAAATAATATCCTGCTTTGGCTCACAAAAAATGCTCTTGTGTATTATTGCATGAGCATAAAGGACTGCTTAGGTTGTTAATGTTTTTTTTTTTTTTTCAAATTTAACTGTGAAATGTTGTTTGCACACTGCTTTTCCTTCACATGTGTGATTATTGTTACTTAGTGCAAGTCTAAATGAAGCTTTACATGTTGACTTTCTGTTGAAATCATAGACTGTAAAAGATGTGGACATAGTATCCGTGACGTCACCCATAGGTTTCTGAAGAGCACAAATTAAGCTACAAGTAGGTGTGGTTAACCATTGCCATTTTGTTCGCACGTCATTGAACCAGCTGGGGTGCCCAAAAAAGGGCTAAGAGGCGAAGCATCAGTGGAGCTAAACATGCCTGCCAGCATATTTGCTTAGACTGGCTTTTCTTTAGGGGAAACACTTAATACATCATCACCTGTGACTCGTTTGTGTTCTGACCACATGTGCTTGGATGTATACTATATCAATAAAGTGTTTAGTGTTTACATTGAGCCACTAAACATTGTTCTTAAGGTGTTTTTCTACAGGAGGAAGATTGCAAATAAGTCTCAAATACTTCAAATATAGTCTGCGTTAGTAAATGCAAGGCTATTTATGAAATCCAGGCATAACACTGTATGACAATGTTTCAGATGACTGTTTGCTAGCCTACAGCTAATCAATCTGTCTGATACTAGAGTGCATTACAGGTTTAAAGAAAACTATAAATGATAAAGTATCTTAAATAAAACAAATACATTTATAGAGATGGTATATAAGAATTGCCCTCACCTGGAAAATGGAAGCTGCTTGAATAGTTTGTGAGCACAATTAAGTGCACACAGCATGTCATATTATCTGATAATTGTAGGAAATAATTTCAAAATTGACTATGTAAAGCTACATAAAACAATAAAAAAATGATGTATATGCCAAGCTCAGCGGCTAATCAGCCGGAATCAGCTGAGGTGACATAACAGCGATCAGCAAGACCTAGCTAGTCACTCAAGTGACCATGCTCTTAATAATGTAGACTTAATATAACTGCATAAAAATAAAACAGATGAGTTAAAAAAAATGCACCACCTTACTGTTGTCATACAGGGTAATATTAGCTTTATGTACCAAAACCATCTTTTGTACCAGGATCTAAACATGGTTTTATCAGCTGTAAAATAGGTCAATTTAGCATGGCAGTTAGTTAACGTGTGGAGTTCCTGGAGCCAGACCCCAAAGGCGAGTCGATGAACTGGAGTTTTAGTTAGTTCTGTATTGGCTTCACAAGGGAGAGCGGGAGGTTGCCATTTGGTTGTAATCTATTGCCAAAGGGCTTGTTTTAATGGCATCTTTATTAAATAGATGTTTAGCACTTTTCAAGGTCAGCCTGTTGTCAATAGACATTAAAAAAAGACAGAAAGCCAGATGCCTCCAGCATAACTATACTGATGCTGTTATCACCAATCAAACTTTTCAATCATCATTACATCCCACAGAGGTCTCCTGCCAGTCATTTTTTAAATTGGTGTCAATAGCCTGCTTGCAATATCTTTATTAATTTTTTTTTTTTTTAGAGCAATTGTGCATAACTCACGAAGGAGACATTAAAACAGTGCCTTTTTTAGATGGATGCAATTATAAATGCCCAAGTTTCACCAGAGCGAGACAGAGAACCCAAGGGTAAAATACAGAGCCATCCCTCACTATCATCACCATGTGAAATGATGCATTTGTATGCCTCATTATTCCTGTTAATTGTATCTGGCTTATTACTTAGATCAGGTGCATTCAATTATACTCACCTGTTAGACAAGAACGTTGAATGCTGTGGGTTTTTTCCGCTTTTATTTTTTTCTTTTGTTCCTGCACACCTGTGACTTGAAACTGTTTGTCCGGCTATTCAGTTCACTTGCGTTTTAGGGTTGTTCCAAGCAACACTTAGGAACATGTGTATTTCTGTTTTGTATCCTGACCAAGGTGAAATGCCATAATTTTCACATTTGTGAATATAAATTGACATTGTTTATCCATTGAGTTGTTTTTTTCTATAGTTTATTATTCACTTTTTCAATTCAATTCACCGTAATTTGTATAGCGCTTTTACAATGTAGATTGTATCAAAGCAGCTTCACATAAAAGGTCAAAGTAAATTGGAACAGTGTAGTTCAGTTTTTTAGTGTTTAAGTTCAGTTCAGGGCTGCGTTTCCCGATAACGATTGATCTTAGCACTTAAGAGCGTTTTCTACGAGTCATTTTGCGAACGTTCGTTATTGTTTCACGTGCGTTTCCCAAAAATGCACTTAACACAATTGCACGTAGCCCAGCTAACTTAGGAGTCGCTATCCGTTTGTTAAGTGCTGAAATGTCACGCTATAGAATGGCTCGTTATTGTTGCACATGTTATAGCAATCCATATAATTGTTCTTCTACTTGTGTGAATGTATATTCAACTCGAATAACATAAAAAAAATATTTTTGAGCCAGTTTAAAAACATAAATTAACTGGAAATGTCGTACTGTAAAAACACTGTCTTGCTCCAATCTCGCATAAAACTAATTCTAACAGTTCTTGCCGGAAATGACATCAGCATCATTTTCGATATTTATATGAAACCTTAATTAAGTAGACTTATTTAACAATTTCTTTATCAAAAATTGCTTATCTCACATCAAAATAAATAAATAAGTAAATAAATAAATAAATAAATAAGCTCTTACATTTATTTTTGAAAAGTTTAGCCTAATTATCCCCACCTGATGTGCATTTGCTAATAGGACAAAAATATAAATGAATAGAGATACGTACAAATAAAATGAATAATGACTTTGAAGAGAAGTAAATTGTAGGTGCAATTTGCCGGTTGTCCAGCAGGTGCCCTCATAACTCTGTCTCCTTACGATGCACTTAAGGCTTTACGATTACTCCAGAGCACTCGTAGATCCACTAAGATTTTCAAGTGCTACTTAAGTTACGATGCTTTTGGGAAACAGACCGTAATATTAAGATCAGTCGTACGATCATTTCTACGAACTTCTTAGGCTTACGATGCTTTTGGGAAACGCAGCCCAGCTCAGTTCAGTGTGGTTTAATAATCACTACTGAGGGTTTAGACACTGGAGAGCAAATCCATTGATGCGCAGCTCTACAGATCCCAAACCATGCAAGCTAGTGGCGACAGCGGAGAGGGAAAAAAAAAAACCTCACCAATAAGCGAAAAAGAAGAAGAAAAAAAACCTTGAGAGAAACCAGACTCATTTGGGCACAACCATTTTAATTTCTCCGCTGGCCAAACGTCTTGTGCAGAGCTGCAGTCTCAGCAGTGGAGGCTGGAGGCTGGAGGCTGGGCCTCAGCAAAGACTCGTCTGTCCCTGGGGTGTCACAGGAATAAATCTCATGCGCTCCACTCCTCCATGACCACTACAGCAGCTGCTCAGGATTCGGCCTGGTCCAGGATATGGAAACCTTGGGATCATCTCGTCTCCGGTCTTGGATCAATCTGAGGACCTCAGAATGAGTATCCCCTGATGGAAATGGAGAATAAAGAGAATAATAAGCATAGGTGCTGTTCATAGTGTATATAAACATGATGCAGAAACCTGTATGGAAACCCACTAAGTGATGCACGGAGTGTATGTTTTACTGAACAGATAGGTTTTTAATCTAGTTATGAATTGGGAGAGTGTGTCTGAGCCTCGGACATTATCAGGAAGGCTATTCCAGAGTTTAGGAGTCATAACCAAGAAGGTTCGGCCTCCTTTACTCGACATTGCTATTCTAGGTACTACCAGAAGCCCTGAGTTTTGAGATCTTAAAGAGCGAGTTGGATTATAGTGAGACAGAAGGTTGGTTAGATAAACAGGAGCTAGATTATTTAACGCTTTATATGTAAGAAGCAATATTTTAAATTCAGTACAAAACTTAACAGGCAACCAGTGTAAGGAGGATAAAATTGGGGTGATATGATCATATTTTCTAGACCAGTTAAAAACTCTGACAGCTGTATTTTGTACTAGCTGAAGTCTGTTAATAGAGGATGCTGGGCAGTGTGTTATAGTAGTCCAGCCTAGAAATCATAAAAGCATGGACTAGCTTTTCTGCATCTGAGATGGACAGCATACTTTGTAATTTAGCGTTATTTCTCAGATAAAAGAAGGCAGTTTTTGTGACATGGGATATATGTTTTTCAAAAGATAGATTGCTGTCTAATATGACACCCAGATCTTTTATAGTAGCAATAACACTAACTTTCTATCCCTCTAATTGTAGATTGAGTTGCGAGATCTGCTGTGTACAGGATTTAGGCCCAATAAGTAATAATTTTGTTTTGTGTAAGAGAAGAAAATTGTTGGTCTTTAACATCTTTAATATACTTATTTAGCTTAGACAGTTCAGACATCTCATCAGGCTTAGTTGAAATATATAATTGAGTATCATCTGCATTGCAGTGAAAGCTGATCCCATGTCTTCTAATAATGTCACCCAGAGGTTGCATGTACATTGTAAACAGCAAAGGGCCTAAAACTGATCCTTGAGGCACCCCATACTTTACTAGGCTGACTTGTGAAGGCTGTCCATTAATGTACACAAACTGGTAACGATCAGTAAAGTATGACTTAAACCACTGTAGAGCTTGTCCCTGGACACCTGCAGACTTTAAGCGATTTATGAGGATATTGTGGTCAATGGTGTCAAATGCTGCACTAAGATTAAGTAAAACTAATAGTGAGATGCACCCTTGGTCAGCAGCTAAGAGTAGATTATTGGGTCCCACTTTATATTAAGTGGCCTTAACTAATATGTACTTACACAGGAATTAATAGTTTGTTAAAATGTACTTATAGTGTAAATACATGCGTTTACTTTGTACTTATGCTTGATTAAATACATGTATGTAATTACATCTGTAGTTAACTTTTGTAGTTACATTTGTAAATACACTGTTGACCATCCCTTACACCTTAACCCACCCTTAAACCTACCCATGCCACCAAACCTGTCCATAACCCAACCTCTATCCCAACTCAAAAGCACCACAAGTGTTCTCAAATACATTATAAACACAGTAAGTATATTGTATTTATTTTTTGATGTAAGTACATAGTAGTTAAGGACACTTAATATAAAGTGGGACCGATTATTGGTAGATCACTTTTGCTCTCAGAACACTACTTTCGATGCCACTGAAGTAATTCTAAAGTTGATGGTTTAACAGCTGGATTCAAGCCTCTGTTTTTTTTTATGCCAAAATGTTGCTTTAGAAAAAAAATAGCTTATCAAGTACTTATCAAAACTAAATAAAAAAATTAATGAACATAATAAATAAATGTATGTTTTTTTATTTTATTTAATAGAAATCAAGCTATTGGCAATTCAGTCATATTGTCACTTTAGAATTATAAGGTTCTATCTGCCATTTTTGTTAAAATTTAGTTATTGGCATATTCTTATTAAATGACAACTTATTTACATTGTGGGATGTTTTTTTAAGTTGTTTACATTTTAATACTTTTTATTAAAAAAACAAAAAAGGTTTATTAACAAAGTTTAACTTTAGTTTGGCTCTATAAGGTTCTTTATGTGAGCCAATCAGTATTTAGTATGCACACACGAAGACCAATCAGGATTAAAAAAATGTTGTCATTCCACCAGACTGCTCCGTTGACAGTGGCAAAAACCAGAAAGAAAGACAAAATCCGAATTGACTAAATAATGTTGCACCACACACAAGTAAAAAAAAAAAAAAAACATCACTGTTGACCATTTTAAAGACAATCTTGTCAAGGACAGTGGTCTAAATTTAAATTCTAAAGTCTAAATTCCATTAAGTTTTTCCATTAAGTTATTTTTTTACATTGTTTTCATTTTGTTTTTTAATTACAACAATACATATTACCATAACATGAATAATATAAATATTAACATTTACATGAAATTAACATCTGTTCTGGACAAAATATTTAGCACAACCTTGTATGCTTAATTTGAACGAGAAAAAATATTCATCCTAAAACATTAAATAAATGTTTCAGAAAGCAAAACTATTACATTCTCAAGCATCAACACATTGCTACAACAGCCATTTTTTTAATAATTAATAAGCAGACTGATTGTATTTCTTGAAAAGTAACACCTCAATGAATGATCTGCCAGATAGAACCTTATAATTACAAGTGGAAAATGGGTTTTTAGGATTTGAGGGTTCTATCTGCATTTGCAATGTTTTTTTTATCCTAGTTTGCAAATTTAAGAGAACTTTGGTCATTTACATTTAGAGTACATTTAGGGTCTCTGTCATGTTAATGGATGCATATTGTTTGCTATATGGAATGCAAAAACTTTGAAGCTCAATATCTCAAAATCATTTAGAATGCATATAGAGGCAACAACATGCAGACTTGTCAAAGTCACGATTAGAGACAACATTAAAATTACAAAATAAAAAAATTACATTAGGCAAAGCAGTGGCGCAGTAGTTAGTGCTGTCGCCTCACACCAAGAAGGTCGATGGGTCGCTGGTTCGAGCCTCGGCTTGGTTGGCGTTTCTGTGTGGAGTTTGCATGATCTCCCTGCATTCGCGTGAGTTTCCTACGGGTGCTCCGGTTTACCCCACAGTCCAAAGACATGCGGTACAGGTGAATTGGGTAGGCTAAATTGTCCGTAGAGTATGAGTGTGTGTGTGTGTGTGAATGTGTGTGTGGATGTTTCCCAGAGATTGCTTGCGGCTGGAAGGGCATCTGCTGCGTAAAAATGTGCTGGATAAGTTGGCGGTTCATTCCGCTGTGGCGACCCCGGATTAATAAAGGGACTAAGCTGACAAGAAAATGAATGAAAAAATTACATTAAAATTACAAAATATATAAAACATTGCTCTGGATCACGTAATGTAATAATTGTAATAATAAATTTAATAATTTGCCTATTGGATTTACCCGTAACTCTACTGCTGTAGAGAAATACATCAGAGCCAGCTGTAGATTCCAAAATTAAAAGAAAAAAAAAGTTTACAGGAAGGATATTCTCGGCAGAATACATCAGTGCTGATTCAGGCCTATGAAGTACAACGTGACTTAAAACTTCTATTTAAACAAAAACTACATGTATTTCTTTTTTCTTTTTTTTCGCTTGAAAGATCATGTTCTTCATCTTTACTGTCTTTTTTGTTGTTGTTGTATTGGCTATGCAAGTAGTGCTGTAGGACCACAAATGTGCAAGAAAATGCATTGCAAATCAGTTGGATAGAAAATAAGCTATTAAAGTACGAGACCAAAGATTGTCAATATGTTTTGAATTTGTCTGCTGAGTCTCAGCAAACTGAAATTATTGAATTGCTTTTGCACCCTTGATCAAGGTGTTTATGTCCAAATGACACCCGGAGAGCAGTCCCTGTAATAAAAGCACAGGAAATCATCTCTGGTAAATAACCATTTTCCCCATGTCTCTTTATTTCAATTGCGCAGACATTTGTGCCAATCAACTGCATGGAAACACTTAAAAAATACTGCAGCTCTTGGCCTGAAAACATAATCAATGCTCATCAGGGGGTCCCACAAATCATGGCTTGTGCTCAACACACTGAGCTGAAACTGCTATTATTTATTCATTTCCTCATATATTCAGAGCTGTAGTTGGAAGAAAGCGGAGCAGTAGTGCATTAATGCAGGACGCCAGCCTGGCTATGGTAATGCTGCATATAAATGTTGCTCTTAGCCACTTCATGTGTGCACATGAAGAAAGTTATAGACCTGGACTGTCTGCACCCCAACCATGAGACCCCTCTGGGCCTGCGGTGCTTTCTCTGCTGTTGGGTTTCTGCTCGAGTCGGCAAATGCCTTTTAGCATGGGTCCAGCAATCCCCTAAAGACTTGTTTGTTTTTGCACTCATTATTTATTTACTGCAAAGACTCAGAATTAGGTAATTGGGCACACAAACTGAATGCCAAGGTGGATAGGAGCCTTAATGTGAAAATAATCTGTAAAACCAGTGCAGTTTTTAGAGTCCAGTCCCATTAGAATCACATGTCAAACTTGAGTATTTTAGATGCTTTTTCACAGCAAGTCTTTTCTTGCTCTTAGTATGTCTGTGTATTGTTTAATATTTGAAGAGTCAGCACCCTATAAGAATACAAATCATGTCTCTTGCAGAACTGATATTTTAGGTGAGCATTTTTTGTAGCAAGTGTGGTTTGTAGTGTTCTTTTATTTACTGGACGGTGCTGCAAGGATTCAATCTTAAAGCTTCATATCATGCTTTCAAGAACAAATAAAGTTGTGTGTGTGTGTGTACACTCTCAGAAAAAAATGATACAATGTTGTACCAAAAAGGTACAAACCCATGTCACTGGGGCAGTACCTTAAGAAAAAGAAACAAATTCGTACCATTCCAGTTTGTACCTTTAAGGACATGATTTGTACCATGAGAAACCAAAATGTACCTTTGGTTTTTAAAACCTGTAGATACAATATTGTATCAAATCTGATCCATGAAGGTACCATTACAGTGACAGGACACTGTACTTAACAG